GTGTCTGTGTGTGTGTTTGTGTCTGCGTGTGTGTCTCCATGTGTGTGTCTGCGTGTGTCTGCGTGTGTCTGCGTGTGTGTGTGTGTATGTGTGTCTGCATGTGTGTGTGTGTGTGTCTGCGTGTGTGTGTTTGTGTCTGCGTGTGTGTGTGTGTGTCTGCGTGTGCGTGTGTGTGTGTGTGTGTGTGTGTGTGTGTGTGTGTGTGTGTGTGTGTGTGTGTGTGTGCGTGTGTGTGTGTGTGTGTGTGTTTGTGTGTGTGTATGTGTATGTGTGTGTGTTTGTGTGTGTGTATGTGTGTACTCACCTAATTTATCAAGACGTTGTATAAGCACTCGGAGATGTCTGGTTGACGCCGCAGTTGGACAAATGGTAGATGAGTTTCAGTGTTTACATATAAACATCTTAAATATTACTAATACTATATAATAATCTTAAAAGTCAATTGAAAAAGACTAGATAAGACATAAAAAAAAATGATTCTTGAAACCATCATGAGCAACGACGTTATGGTCGACTCTGGTGGCCTGGTGGTTAACTTTCTCGCTTCACAAGGCGAGGGCCCGGGTTCGATTCCCAGCCAGATCAGAAACATTTTGCGTGTTTCTTTAAACCTGTTGTCTATGTTCCCCATCAGTAAAATGGGTACCTGGGTGTTAGTCGACAGGTGTGGGTCGCATCTTGGGACAAAACTGACCTAATTTCCCCGAAATGCTGAGCATAACAAGGAACTTTGTATATAGTAGTATGTCATTGATGCCAGCTAGGACTGTATACCTTGTACATGTACTTGTAGTAAATAAAGATATTATTATTATTATTATTATTATTATTATTATTATTATTATTATTATTATTATTATTATTATTATTATTATTATTATTATTATTGTTATTATGTATGGTTAACAATGTCTATCTTCGAGCAACAAGGTTACCAGTGATCTAAATTTCTTTAATATTCTCTCCAGGTTTGGTCCCAAGCTACATAACAATAAATAAACTGGAGATGATCGACAGAGTAGCAGAAGTTCAAATGAAAACATTCTCATGGAATATACGTGAAGATTTTATTTAGGTAGGGTTTCGTTTGAAATCCATCAATGCAACACAGCGTACATGAGCCAGAAGAGAAGTGAGGGTTCCAGTGCACCAAAGCAAGGTCATAGACTTGTGGTTGTCTCAGGCGTTTCCGGGTTTCTAAGCAGCAGCAAACCACAACGTTCGCCAGTTCTGCCGCACTATTATTTCCAAGGTGTCCCGTGCTAGCTGCTGGCCTACCTAGACGGCATGCTGCGGGCTGTCATACCATGCAGTAGAAACAGATGCTTTGCTGGGTAGTAGGTACAGAGAGAAGAGGGAGTAGTGGAGAGGAAGGGAGAGAGAAAGGGATGAAGAGGGAGGGAGGGAAGGATGACCGAGAGCGGTAGGGAGGTGATTTGAAGGAAAATGTGGAATAAGAGGAGGGAGGAGGACGTATAGAGAGAGGGGCGAAAGTTTGAAACTGTGTGATAGAGGGAGATAATGAGGTGGGAGGGAGATAAAGAAAAACAGAGAAGAAATATCTGCAGAAGATCATAGTCTCTTGTGCAACGAATTATCCTTTGTTGTGGATGGTAACGCATGAGCCATATGGATACACAAGGCCTGTTAACAAGGATCCATAAATGGGTTAACAGAGCCCTTCACACTTTCTTTTCGTAACAGTTGTACTTCTATGGAAAACGTCTCGAACTTTATATTTTTGATTAATAAGATACCTTGAGACATCCCACAATTTATTATGCCATCCTATCTTTATATTCCTCAATAATCGGACACTGCGCACATAGTGTTCAAGAAGAAGTGACCGAAAGTCGCCAACACATACTTTCGCATTTACTGGGATCATCGGGGGTGTCCAGTATAAATCAAACTGTCAGAAGTAACTTGTAATAAGCTTATGTTCTGGTTGCTAACAGGATTTTTGTCAGTGTCTGAAATACAAGTACTTCGTAACTTTGTTTATCTATGTTCATGTTATCTCTAGGAATTAAGTAACTAATCAAGTATTTTAAATGTCTCCCTACCCGTTCTGATTACATTATTTACTTTATCTGTCTTGAATATTTCCAAATACTTTACGGAAATACACCAAAGATATACTCTATTTTTTTCCTTCCTAGGATTTCGTTGATTAATTATGAATTCATCATGAAGGACTAATTCAGTGTTTGAAAGGAATACATAATAATTATACATTTGATGCATGTCTTTCGATTTGTTTATATTTCATACTTTGGCTTGTCCGACGAATATGATTGATTCACTTGTGCGAGTCAAGTGTCTTCAGTATGATAGAGATAGTTATATAAAAAGGTGAGCACAGTGACGAAAGTTATCTTAGTGCAAGAAAATAAGTAAGAAAATGACCTGAAATACCTGTGATTTTTCATGTTTTTTTTATTTTTTTTTTTTATGTAAATAATCTTCTTCTTTTGAGATATAAAGACAAGCAAAAAAAACACTTTCCTCGTCATTAATTACTGACACGTTTTGGCCAAAAATGTGACATTCCCCCCATCGTTCCAATCGTAGTCAGGTATGGGTTAAACCAAAGTGATGGGAGAGGGAGAGAGATAAGTTTCCCCATGGTAGAGAGAAGAGAGAGAAGGAGAGAGAGAGAAGAGGGAGGCGTAATAGGAGAGTTGAAGGAATGGGGGAAGGTAGGAAGAGAGGGAGAGAGAAAGAAAATAGGAAGTAGGAAGAGAAAAGGGGAGGACGAGAGTGTATTAAAGAAGGAGGGAAAGAGAGAGCAGTAGTAATGACACTGAAAACTCATAAGAGTCCGATAATCCCCTTGTCGAGTTTATTAGGTATATACTTCAAGCGGGAATACCTTTAGTTACTGAAAAATATAATTTGGTTTTTCTCTCTGAGGTTTCCATGAATTAAGCTTAGAATATTGTCTTGTGATCAATATCAGAATTCCATCGACTGAGATAAGAGTAAAATATTTTTCTCAAAATTTAGTTACTAATCAGGAACATAACGGTCGTTTGCATAACACTGTCTCTTAAATAATATGCGCATTGCCACCAACGAAATTATGGCGTTAGTTATAATGTAGTTAAATATTAGCACTGAAGATTTAGAGTATCTCTAGAAGTATTCACAAGACATCACATTAAAACAAATATTCCAGTTTCTTCAATAAAAATGGCAAATAGTACAGAGTCCAAATTCAATACATGTCTTCTGTTAAGACAAACTAACTTTGAAGCTAAACTGGAGAGACAAATTGGCCTTAATAAACCCAGCACATTAAACCTGGAGCTGATCAAAAACGCTGCCATTAAGCACAAGCTATCTAAGCATTGAGGCTTGAAGAATGGCTTTCATTATTTTAAATTTTCCCAATTCCTTTCTTTCCCTGTCCCTAAAAGCAATAGGGGACCTACACATGTCAGAACCAATCAAACTTTAAGACTGAATCACTTTTACCAGATGTTAATTAAGAAAGTAAATAAATAAGCGTTTTTTTAGTTTTCCCTAAAATAACGCACAATGGTCTTGATAGTACACAGATGTAACAGCAGAAAACAACCATAATATAGATTTAGCCTAAGGTTAGCCAACACAGTCAAACACGATATTGTTTTCTGATCAGAAAGATCAAGATAAATATGTCTCCAGTTACTTTACAGAAACCATTTCATTAATAAAACTGACACATTACGCACACACACAATTAAAAATGACGAGAAAGTTCCGCTGAGGAAAACACAACAATAATAACTGCACAGAATCCAATAAAATTGCACGCTAACGCACGCCTATGCCAATCAATTTTCATTAATTTTAAACTGATGCATCAGCCAATACACATTGATAATGCTCGAATTGTTTTTATTTTTAATCAAGGCAAAGCGTTAAACCCGTAGAGGACACAACGTTATGTGGAATGAAGCATCATATTTGAACAAGAAAGGAAAGATAAGTCGAACTTCCTTGGATCAAGAGCCCTTTCACTACCATAAAGGCAACCCCTCATTTCGAAAACTTTATCCACATATGTAATGAAAATAATACTATACCTTTTTTCTAGATTAAAAGGTGAGATAATACATCTACACACTCCATTAACAACAACCAACCTTCAACGTATATACACTACTGTCGGAATCTGAAGCCGACGGAAGAGGCTTTCTAAAGTTTCTCATGTGAACTAATTTCGGTAATGGTCTACATAATATTGGAACAGTGGATCACCCACCTGTCACTTGTTCCCCGAAACATTCACCAAGTAATAGTTAATGATAGTGGAAAATTGAACCGCTATAGTCGAATGTGATGTTAGACGACTTTTGTCATTTCAGTAAGAGAACAGTGTTTAAGGTGACATACACTTAGACACAAAACCTTATGTGTCCGGACCTTTTTAAAGCCAAATATTGTCTGGGCAAATTTACTTCGATAAAAAAACCAGTTTAATGAACTAAAGAGAGCTAAATTTTTACCTTAGTTATATCTAACAGTTTTTTGAAAAATATTTTCATTAGGTTTAGAATTTACAAGGTGATGAAAGATTTTCATCAATTTTCTTGTGTTGTTACAGGTAATTATTTTTTTAAAAACAAATTTTCTAATGTTAATTTTTTGTTTGAAAACATTTCATGTTGAAAAAAGGCCAAAAAATTTGCTTTGGATAATAGAAAGAGATATTTAAAAAATAACGTTTCTTTATTGCATTAAAAAAAAAAAATTTTGTGATGGTCAGTCATAGTAAGAAAGAATGTCGAGCGAAGAAGCGGTTTTTTCCTAGTAAGGGGTGGGGGGGGAAACCCCAAAACCTCCAAAACCACGAAGCTCCTCAAACCACCACGCCAAAGTGCCTGGATCGCTTCAGGCTCAGCGGAGCTTTTAGCGCTTCTTTCCCTCGGTATCCAAAGCCCCCCTATCCTCCTCTGAAGCCTCCAAAACTCCGAAGCCCCAAAACCACCCTGACCCCAAAAGACCCGGGGTCAGCTTCGGCTACTAGAGCTTTGGGCAGCTTCAGCGCTTCTTTCCCCCGGGATCCCAAAACCCCTTCCTTTGAAGCCCCCAAAACCTCCGAAACCCCCAAAGCCACCATGACCGAAACGACCCGGGTAGCTTAGGCTAGCTAGAGCTTTTGGGTCAGCTTCAGCGCTTCTCTTCCCTCGGTATCCAAAGCCACCATATCCTCCTCTGAAGCCTCCAAAACCTCCGAAGCCTCCAAAGCCACCATGACCGAAACGACCGGGATCAGCTTCAGGCTCAGCGAGAGCTTCTGGGTCAGCTTCAGAGCTTCTCTTTCCTCTGTAGCCGAAACCACCATATCCTCCCCGGAAGCCTCCAAAACCTCCTCTGAAGCCTCCAAAGTGGCCAGGCTCGGCATCTGGAGCAGGAACAGCGCTTGTGGCTACCAAGCAGAAGGCAGCCAGGACGGCAGCAAAGACCTGATGGATAAAAACATTATTTATTATTACAGAGATGGATCATTATTTTAAATACTGTATAAAGTTCTTGTTTTTTACAAATGGTTTATTACCATATGTAACACCATAAGAATGTACATTTGTATAACTGCTATAAATGATAAGGTATTCTAATTTTAAATGAACACTAATGGAAACTAGATGCATTTTAAGCCCTTGTAATTACAGTGGGTTACTGCATATATATTGAGAGTTATCTGAGTGTCAGTAATAATCAGGAAATAATGTTGAGCGAGAAAGCAGATTTTCATCCATAGTAAGGACGTCGAAAGCCTCCAAATCCACAGAAGCCTCTTCCAAAGGCACCATGAAAAACTTGTAACGTGTAACGTATGTTACATGTATAATTTCAATCTATTTCTGCATGTACAATGAGAGTTATTTGAGTGTGAGGTCATTAAATGTGTTTTATGTGTCCTTAATCAACCTTCAAATACTTAACGGGTCTGAAAACTAATAAATTTACTAAGACGTTCAATATCCTTAAGGAAGTGTATACACTAATACAATGTGCTCACTAAATGAATATTCTGAGATGGAATATAAAAATACCGTAGTGTCTTAGTGAGGACTTTCATCTTTCTTGGAACTTGAGAAGTAAAAAAGCAAAGCCTAATGAAAAGATATTCACAAGAAACTCATTAAATGATTAGCTGTAAATAAATAATAATAAACTTTATTTCTACAAGTACATGTATTAGGTATACAGTATTAGCTGACATCAGGCGTACTACATAGACATTCCCTTGTTATGCAGAGCATTTCGGGCAAATGAGGTCAATTTTGCTCTAGGCTGCGACCCACACCAGTCGACTAACACCCAGGTACCTATGTTACTGATAGGCGAACATGGGCAGCAGGTGCGTTAAGGAAACACGTGCTATTGTTTTCATCCGTACCGGGGATCGACCCCCGGACTTCAGTGTGTGAGCTGAGTGCCCTAGCAATCGAGCTACTATAGATTCTTTCCTCCTAAACCACAACTTAGTTGTGAGTAAAGACCATAATGTTTTATCATTAATATTTACAAGTTAAAATATAAGGCGATATACAATAAGTTGTTGAGAAAATGAAAATAAACTAGTCAGATGTAACTAACCAGAGACTTCATGGTTGTGGAGGATCTCTGGGTCGACTGTGTCAAGCTGAGGGTGGTGACTCCTTATATACCACTCACCAGACCCACCGGGCAACTATTACCAATCATAGTTTTCCTGGAACACCGCTAACTTTTTTTTGTTCTACTCTTCATACGTAAATACCCACAATTTTAATAGGGCTAAATAACTACATTGGGAATTCTTCATTTTGAGATTCTTAGCCACGCATCACCATCCTGCGGCCCCCGTGTTGCATGTGATCTGAGAATTTTAGAACAATAATATGTAATATTATTGTATAATTGCTAAGCCGATAAATCATGCCAATAGTTTCGATATGAAAATACATTCGTGAATAAAATTTTTAGCATGTGGTGTTGAAAAATTGATGTGAAAACAGATATAATACCATGATTAAGGAAATAAATAATCATTGTCTCAATATTTATAATCTTAACAAGTATTAATTGTCTCAGTATTTATAATATTAACAAGTGTCGTGTATGGTTATAGTAAAACGTGTCGGCAGAAAGTGTAGTTAAGGAAGAGAGGCACAGTTCAGATGCAGACACAGGAAAACCAGTGAATATAGAGGTATACAGTGGATATAGAGACTTACTTAGCATAGGGATACACTGTTAATATAAACACAGATAGTGTAGAGACATAGTGATCATAGATATAGTGATTATAGATATAGTGGATACAGAGGTAAAGTGAATATAAAGAGATACAGTTAATATAGAAAAACACAGTGAAAGCAAAGATGAAGAATGATAGCAGAGACACACTTGGAAGATATGGAGGTCAGAAAAATGACTGGACAGGCAGAAATGATCATCATTTTGCTCAGATGATGATCATTTGTGCAAAATATTAACTGTACGACACAAACATTGAGCTTAATATTAATAACATCTTTATTTCTACAAGTACATGTACAAGGTATACAGACCATAGCTGACATCAGTGACATACTACTATATAGAAAGCCACTTGTTATGCTGAACATTTCGGGCAAGTTTGGTAAATCTTGTCCCCAGGATGCGACCCACACCAGTCGACTAACACCCAGGTACCCATTTTACTGACTGGTGAACATGGACAGTAGGTGAATTAAGGACACACGTCCTAATGTTTCCACCAGTGTCAGGGTGGAAACATTAGGAAACATTTGGAAACGTTGCCACATTAGTTGCACGTGTGTCCTTATACCTCTCTCTCTCTCTCTGTCTCTCTCTGTCTCTCTCTACTATACCACAGCTTCAAAAAACACCCTTAGATTAACAATGCAGCCTTAGGGCTGCATTGTTAATCTATTCTTATAATTAATTATGCTATTAAAAGTTAATTTTTTTATATTCAAGTGCTTTGTTATATTTGCGATTATTAAGAAAATCGGAAATAATATAGCATTTTTATTTCTGGATCTCACTAGTCTTTTAGTATACTATGAGGGGAAAATGTAAATTATGTTAACTTACGTTCGTTATTTAAAACCAGTATTGGCTATTTTGGTGACTAAGACCTGTGTCAGGAAACACTTTTCCTGTTTCCTGACAAACCTTACCTAACCTCACCTATTTTGGTAAAGTTTGACTTGTGAATGAGGTGTACAGGTTTTGAAGCTTTTTTTTCAGTTTATGAGGATAATATTAATCGTCGTTATTATTACACAATATATTAGTTAATGTATAAAGTGGACTTCAGTTTGAAGTTGCGGTTATCATCACACATCTGACCTCTTATTGTGAACCACTTAAGTGGAAATGTTAGGAACCATTGTGTAATGTGTAAGAGTGTGTGTGTACAGTCATCTATTTGTGGTTGCAGAGGTCGACTCGTAGCTCCTGGCCCCGCCTCTTTGCTGGTCGCTACTAGGTCCACTCTCTCCCTGCTCTAAAAGTTTTATTGTACCTCTTCTTAAAGCTATGTATGGGTTCTGCCTCCACTGCATCACTCTCTAGACTGTTACTCTTCCTGACAATTCCATGAGTGAAGAAACACTTTCTAACATCTCTGTGACTCGTCTGAGTTTTCAACTTCCATTTGTGGCCTCTTGTTGCTGTCCCATCTCTGAAGTATTCTTTCGCTATCCATCTCAGTATTTTATGTGTTATCATGTCCACCCTATCCCTTCTGTGTGTTTGTGTGTGTGTGTGTGTGTGTGTGTGTGTGTGTGTGTGTGTGTGTGTGTGTGTGTGTGTGTGTGTGTGTGTGTGTGTGTGTGTGTGTGTGTGTGTGTGTGTGTGTGTGTACTCATTTGTCTTTGCAGGGGTGGAGACTCAGCTCCTGGCACCGCCTCTTAACTGACCGCTACTTGGTCCTCCCTCTCTCTGCTCCATGAGATTTATCATACCTCGTCTTAAAAGTATGTATGGATCCTGCCTCCACTACATCACTTATGTGTGTGTGTGTGTGTGTGTGTGTGTATACGCATCTTAGGCCTATATTTTTTCTGGGAATTTCCACTAATTCCACCAGCCCACTGCTCTCTCTCGCTCAGTTCTGGGAGACTCCTGGCAATGCAGCTACAGTAGACAGTATTGTGTAGTAAGCAGTAGTGCAATTTCAACTCATGGAATCAGCCTATCTTAGCTTAGTTATATTATCTTATTTAAATATAACACTTAGACTGCAGTAAAGTGACACGTCATGGGTAAGTCTAGAGATAAAATCTTATAGCTGCCAGCTGAGCTCCTGTAGCTCACCACTTTCTAGTTACTTTGCCAATCTTTATCAGGTGTGGATTCTGTGCTGGCACTGTGTACTCGAAGATGAGTCTTCGAACGCTTGGAAGTACTTGACTTGTACTCACTGGAGCGCAGGCGAGAGAGATACATAATAATCTAAACCTGGAAGGTCCTAGAGGGACTGATCCCTAATCTGCACACAGAAATCACTTCCTACGAAAGCAAAAGACTTGACAGGCTGTGCAAAATATCCCCGAACAGGCTGTGCAAAATATCCCCGAATGAAAAGTAGGGCGCCATTAATACACTAAGAGAAAGCACAATAAGTGTCCGGGGCCCAAGACTGTTCAACAGCCTCCCATCAGGCATAAGGGGAATTACCATTAGACCCCTGTACAGATACCCACAGTCAGTGCCGGATCATCAGGACTGTGGTTCGTACGTTGGACTACGTGCGGCCAGCAGTAACAGCCTAACAGATCAGGCCCTGATCCACCGGGAGGCCTGGTTATGGACTAGTCCGCGGGGGCGTTCATCTCCGGAATGCCCTCCAGGTAGGTAAATATAAAGCCGTAAATGATTCTGTCGATAAATAAACCATGGAACGGGTGGGGTTTGAACCCATGGCGAGCGAGTCACTCATTTCGTGGCTTGTTTACAGTCGTGTTATTACGATTTCGTGAGTCACGACTACGTTGAGATTCTTGACGGCTACTCTTAAATTTGTCAGACGAGCAGCAGCTGCAGAAGTTATCCGGGTGATGCATCTCTTTCGATATTCTTGGGATCTGCAGCCACCGTTTCTCTGAGTTTATCGTCAGTTTCTTGTACACAAATAACTCGTATAAGAGAAAGAAAAGCTTCCGACTACGTTTCGGTCCGACTTGGACCACTGAATCGGGAGAAATTTCGACTGATTTTTTTCAGTATAATACAGAGCACATGAAGTCAGTGTTGTCGTTCAGTGCGAGCAGCAAGGTCATGGACCTGTGCTGGTCTCAAGATTTTCCCGGGATTTCTAAGCAGTAGATTCAGCCACGAGAGTATAATCTTCTGGCTGCAATGTCACGTCCAAAGAAGGTAGCCCCTCACTACATATTGTGACACTTTGCTGCGGGGAATGGAACAAAGAGATTAATAACACTAATATAACTACTACTACTAATAATAATGATAATAAGTTTATTTCTACAAGTACATGATACAACTTTCACAGACGTACCTGGCACCACTGGCATACTCTAAAAAAGCCCCTAATTATGCACAGCATTGCAGGCAACTTTGGTTAATCTTGTTCCCCACGACAGTCGGCTAACACCCAGGTACCTACTTTGTGATTGCAACAACGCAAATTATGGAGTTAGTTTATAATGTAGTTAAATATTAGCACTGAAGATTTAAGAGTATCATTAGAAGTATTCACAAGACATCACATTAAAACAAATATTCCAGTTTCTTCAATAAAAATGGCAAATTAGTACATAGTCCAAATTCAATACATTTCTTCTGTTAAGACAAACTAACTTTGAAGCTAAACTGGAGAGACAATTGTCCTTAAATAACCCAGCACATTAAACCTGGAGCTGATCAAACTCTGCATTATCAAGCTATCAGCATTGATGCGTTGAAGAATGCTCGCATTATTTTAATTTTCCCAATTCCTTTCCTTTTCCTGTCCCTAAAAGCAATATGGGACCTACACAGGTCAGAACCAATCCAAACTTTAAGACTGATTTACTTTTACAGAGGTAATTAAGAAAGTAAATAAATAAGCATTTTTAGTTTTCACTAAATAACGCACAAGGGTCCTTGAGAGTAACAGGTGTAATAGGCAGAAAACAACCCATAATATAGATTTAGCCTAAGTTAGCCCAACAAAGTCAAACAACGATATTTATTTATGATCAGAAGATCAAGATAAATATTCTCCAGTTACTTAACAGAAACCAGTTTCATTAATAAAACTGACACATTACAAACACACACATTAAAAAATGACGAGAAAGTTTCCGCTGAGGAAATAACATCAATAATTACTGCACAGAATCCAATAAAATTTGCACCTACGCAGCCTATATCCAATCAGTGTTTTATTAATTTTATACGATGCATCAGCCATTACAGATTGATAATGCTCGTAATTGTTTTATTTTAATCAAGGCAAAGCGTTAAACCCGTAGAGGACACAACGTTTGTGGAATGAGAGACATTCATATTTGAACCAAGAAAGGAAGGATAAGTCGACTTCCTTGGATCAAGAGCCTCTCACTAGCATAAAGGCAACCCTCATTTCGAAAAACTTTATCCACATATGTAATGAAAATATTACTATACCATTTCTAGATTAAAAGTGAGATAATAGCATCTACACACTCCATTAACAACACCAACCTTCAACGTATGATACACTACTGTCGGAATTCTGAAGCCGATCGGAAGAGGCTTTCTAAAGTTATCTCATGGGAAACTAATTTCGGTAATGGTCTACATAATATTGAACAGTGATCACCCACCTTGTCACTTGTTCCACGAACATTCACCAAGTAATAGTTAATGATAGTGGAAAATTTGAAGCCGCCATTAGTCGAATGTGTTGTTAGACGACTTTGTCACTTCAGTAAGAGAACAGTGTTAAGGTGACACTACACTTAGACACAGAACCTTATGTGTCCAGGACTCATTGTTAAGCCTAAATATTGTCTCGGCAACATTTACTTCAGATAAAAAACCAGTTTAGATGAACTAAAGATGAGCTCAAATTTACCTTAGTTACTATCATAACAGTTTTTTGAATAATATTTTCATTAGGGTTTAGAATTTCACAAAGGTGATGAAAGATTACTCATCAATTTTCTTGTGTTGTTACAGTGTAATTATTTTACTAAGAACAAATTTTCTAATGTTAATTTTGTGTTTGAAAACATTCTCATGTTGAAAGTTGGCCAAATTTCGCTTTGGATAATAGAAAGAGATATTTAAAACATAACAATTGCTTTATTGCATTAACAAAAATACATTTTGTGATGGTCAGTCATAGTCAAGAAAGAATGTCGAGCGAAGAAGCAGGTTTTTATCCATAGTAAGGGCGTCGGAAGCCTCCAAAGCCTCCAAAACCACCGAAGCCTCCTCCAAAGCCACCACGACCAAAGTGACCTGGATCAGCTTCAGGCTCAGCGAGAGCTTCAGCGCTTCTCTTCCCTCGGTATCCAAAGCCACCATATCCTCCTCTGAAGCCTCCAAAACCTCCGAAGCCTCCAAAACCACCATGACCGAAACGACCGGGATCAGCTTCAGGCTCAGCTAGAGCTTCTGGGTCAGCTTCAGCGCTTCTCTTCCCTCGGTATCCAAAGCCACCATATCCTCCTCTGAAGCCTCCAAAACCTCCGAAGCCTCCAAAACCACCATGACCGAAACGACCGGGATCAGCTTCAGGCTCAGCTAGAGCTTCTGGGTCAGCTTCAGCGCTTCTCTTCCCTCGGTATCCAAAGCCACCATATCCTCCTCTGAAACCTCCAAAACCTCCGAAGCCTCCAAAGCCACCATGACCGAAACGACCGGGATCAGCTTCAGGTTCAGCGATAGCTTCTGGGTCAGCTTCAGCACTTCTCTTTCCTCTGTAGCCGAAACCACCATATCCTCCCCGGAAGCCTCCAAAACCTCCTCTGAAGCCTCCAAAGTGGCCAGGCTCGGCATCTGGAGCAGGAACAGCGCTTGTGGCTACCAAGCAGAAGGCAGCCAGGACGGCAGCAAAGACCTGATGGGTAAAAACATTATTTATTATTACAGAGATGGATCATTATTTTAAATACTGTATAAAGTTCTTGTTTTTATAAAGGGTTTATTACCATATGTAATACCATAAGAATGTACATTTGTATAACTGCTATAAATGATAAGGTATTCTAATCTTAAATGAACACTAATGGAACCTAGATGCATTTTAAGCCCTTGTAATTACAGTGGGCTACTGCATATATATTGAGAGTTATCTGAGTGTCAGTAATAATCAGGAAATAATGTTGAGCGAGAAAGCAGATTTTCATCCATAGTAAGGACGTCGAAAGCCTCCAAATCCACAGAAGCCTCTTCCAAAGGCACCATGAAAAACTTGTAACATGTAACGTATGTTACTTTGTAATTTCAATCTATTTCTGCATGTACAATGAGAGTTATTTGAGTGTGAGGTCATTAAATGTGCTTTATGTGTCCTTAATCAACCTTCAAATACTTAACGGGTCTGAAACCTAATAAATTTACTAAGACGTTCAGTATCCTTAAGGAAGTGTATACACTAATACAATGTGCTCACTAAATGAATATTCTGAGATGGAATATAAAAATACCGTAGTGTCTTAGTGAGGACTTTCATCTTTCTTGGAACTTGAGAAGTAAAAAAGCAAAGCCTAATGAAAAGATATTCACAAGAAACTCATTAAATGATTAGCTGTAAATAAATAATAATAAACTTTATTTCTACAAGTACATGTATTAGGTATACAGTATTAGCTGACATCAGGCGTACTACATAGACAGTCCCTTGTTATGCAGAGCATTTCGGGCAAATGAGGTCAATTTTGCTCTAGGCTGCGACCCACACCAGTCGACTAACACCCAGGTACCTATGTTACTGATAGGCGAACATGGGCAGCAGGTGCGTTAAGGAAACACGTGCTATTGTTTTCATCCGTACCGGGGATCGACCCCCGGACTTCAGTGTGTGAGCTGAGTGCCCTAGCAATCGAGCTACTATAGATTCTTTCCTCCTAAACCACAACTTAGTTGTGAGTAAAGACCATAATGTTTTATCATTAATATTTACAAGTTAAAATATAAGGCGATTACAATAAGTTTGAGAAAATGAAAAAAAACTAGTCAATGTAACTAACCAGAGACTTCATGGTTGTGGAGGATCTTGGGTCGACTGTGTCAAGCTAGGGTGGTGACTCCTTAAAATACCACTCACCAGACCCACCGGGAAAACTATTACCAATCATAGTTTTTCCTGGAACACCGCTAATTTCTTTTTTTTTCTACTCTTCATACGTAAAATACCCACAATTTTAATGGGGCTAAATGACTACATTGGGAATTCTTCATTTTGAGATTCTTACCCACGCATCACCATCCTGCGGCCCCGTGTTAGCATGTGATGTGAGAATTTTAGAACAATAATATGTAATATTATTGCATAATTGCTAAGCCGATAAATCATGCCAATAGTTTCGATATGAAAATACATTCGTGAATAAAATTTCTAGCATGTGGTGTTGAAAAATTGACGTGAAAACAGATATAATACCATGATTAAGGAAATAAATAATCATTGTCTCAATATTTATAATCTTAACAAGCATTAATTGTCTCAGTATTTATAATATTAACAAGTGTCGTGTATGGTTATAGTAAAACGTGTCGGCAGAAAGTGTAGTTAAGGAAGAGAGGCACAGTTAAGATGCAGACACAGGAAAACCAGTGAATATAGAGGTATACAGTGGATATAGAGACTTACTTAACATAGGGACACACTTTTAAATTATAAACACAGATAAGTGTAGAGACTAGTGATCATAAGATATGTGATTATAGATATAGTGGATACAGAGGTAAAGTGAATATAAAGAGATACATTTTAATATAGAAAAACACAGCGAAAGAAAGATGAAGAATGATAGCAGAGACACATTTGGAAGATATTGGAGGTCAGAAAAGGGACTGGACAGGCAGAAATGATCATCATTTTTGCTCAGTGATGATCATTTGTGCAAAATATTAACTGTACGACACAAACATTGAGCTTAATATTAATAACATCTTTATTTCTACAAGTACATGTACAAGGTATACAGACCATAGCTGACATCAGTGACATACTACTATATAGAAAGCTCCTTGTTATGCTGAGCATTTCGGGCAAGTTTGGTAAATCTTGTCCCCAGGATACGACCCACACCAGTCGACTAACACCCAGGTACCCATTTTAGTGACTGTTGAATATGGACAGTAGGTGAATTAAGGAAACACGTCCTAATGTTTCCACCAGTGCCAGGGTGGAAACATCAGGAAACATTTGGAAATGTTGCCACATTAGTTGCACGTGTGTCCTTATACCTCTCTCTCTCTCTCTGTCTCTCTCTCTCTCTCTCTCTCTCTCTGTCTCTCTCTCTCTCTCTTTTCTCTGTTTTTCTCTCCCCTCTCTCTCTACTATACCACAGCTTCAAAAAAAACCCTTAGATTAACAATGCAGCCTTAGGGCTGCATTGTTAATCTATTTTATAATTAATTATGCTATTAAAAGTTTCATTTTTTTTTTTTATTCAAGTGCTTTGTTATATTTGCGATTATTAAGAAAATCGGAAATAATATAGCATTTTTATTTCTGGATCTCACTAGTCTTTTAGTATACATGAAGGAAAAAGTAAATTATGTTAACTTACGTTCGTTATTAAAACCAGTATTGGCTATTTTGGTGACTAAGACCCTGTGTCAGGAAACACTTGTCCTGTTTCCTGACAAACCCTTTCCTAAAACCCCACCTATTTTGGTAAAGTTGACTTGTGAATGAGGTGTACTGGTTTTGAAGCTTTTTTTCAGTTTATGAGGATAATATTAATAACGTCGTATTTTTACACAATATATTTGTTAATGTTTTAAAGGGACTTCAGTTTGAAGTTGCGGTCATTTCACACATCTGACCTCTTATTGTGAACCACTTAAGTGGAAATGTTAGGAACCATTGTGTAATGTGTAAGAGTGTGTGTGTACAGTCATCTATTTGTGGTTGCAGAGGGCGACTCGTACTCCCGGCCCCCCCTCTTGCTGGTCGCTACTAGGTCCCCTCTCTCCCTGCTCCCAAAAGTTTTATTGTACCTCTTCTTAAAGCTATGTATGGGTTCTGCCTCCACTGCATCACTCTCTGACTGTTACTCTTCCCGACAATTCCATGAGTGGAAGAAACACTTTCTAACATCTCTGTGACTCGTCTGAGTTTTCAAATTCCATTTGTGACCTCTTTTTGCTTGTCCCATCTCTGAGGTATTCTTTGCTATCCATCTCGTATTTTATTGTTATCATGTCCCCCTATCCCTTCTGTGTGTTTGTGTGTGTGTGTGTGTGTGTGTGTTTTGTGGGGTGTGGTGTGTTGGGTGTGTGTGTGTGTGTGTTTTGTACTCATTTGTCTTTGCAGGGTCGAGACTCAGCTCCTGGCACCGCCTCTTAACTGACCGCTACTTGGTCCTCCCTCTCTCTGCTCCATGAGATTTATCATACCTCGTCTTTAAAAGTATGTAAAGGATCCTGCCTCCACTACATCACTTATGTGTGTGGTGTTTTGTGTGTGTGTGTGTATACGCATCTTAGGCCTATATTTTTTTTGGGAATTTCCACTAATTCCACCAGCCCACTGCTCTCTCTCGCTCAGTTCTGGAGACTCCTGGCAATGCAACTACAGTAGACAAATAAATTTTGTAGTAAGCAGTAGTGCAATTTCAACTCATTTAATCAGCCTATCTTAGCTTTGTTATATTATCTTATTTAAATATAACAGTTAGACTGCAGTAAAGTGACACGTCGTGGGTAGTCTAGAGATAAAATCTTATAGCTGCCCTTGAGCTCCTGTAGCTCACCACTTTCTAGTTACTTTGCCAATCTTTATCAGGTGTGGATTCTGTGCTGGCACTGTGTACTCGAAGATGAGTCTTCGAACGCTTGGAAGTACTTGACTTGTACTCACTGGAGCGCAGGCGAGAGAGACAATAATAATCCAAAACCTGGAAGGTCCTAGAGGGACTGATCCCTAATCTCCACACAGAAATCACTTCCTACGAAAGCAAAAGACTTGACAGGCTGTGCAAAATACCCCCGAATGAAAAGTAGGGCGCCATTAATACACTAAGAGAAAGCACAAAAAAGTGTCCGGGGCCCAAGACTGTTCAACAGCCCCCCATCAGGCATAAGGGGAATTACCATTAGACCCCTGTACAGATACCCAAAATCAGTGCCGGATCATCAGGACTGTGGTTCGTTGGACTACGTGCGGCCAGCAGTAACAGCCTAACAGATCAGGCCCTGATCCACCGGGAGGCCTGGTTATGGACTAGTCCGCGGGGGCGTTCATCTCCGGAATGCCCTCCAGGTAAGTAAATATAAAGCCGTAAATGATTCTGTCGATAAATAAACCACGGAACTGGTGGGGTTTGAACCCATGGCGAGCGAGTCACTCATATCGTGGCTTGTTTACAGTCGGTGTTATTACGATTTTTGTGAGTCACGACTACGTTGAGATTCTTGACGGCTACTCTTAAATTTGTCAGACGAGCAGCAGCTGCAGAAGTTATCCGGGTGATGCATCTCTTTCGATATTCTTGGGATCTGCAGCCACCGTTTCTCTGAGTTTATCGTCAGTTTCTTGTACACAAATAACTCGTAAAAGAGAAAGAAAAGCTTCCGACGACGTTTCGGTCCGACTTGGACCACTGAATCGGGAGAAATTTCGACTGATTTTTTTCAGTATAATACAGAGCACGTGAAGTCAGTTTTTTTTTTTTTTTTTTTTTTTTTATTCGCCGGTATTCTCCCGGCCCGGGTCTTTTCCAAGTAGTGGTGACCCGGCCTTGGCTCCCTATCTGGGGAGTGTCTCGAGACTTAAGTCTCCCATGGGAGGAGGTACAAGTACCCCCTCATCATTGGGACCAAGTGTCCCCAGGCCTAGCCACATTCCCCGCCCTCACGGGGCTCGTCTAGGCCTCTGGTCTGCCATCTACCCCGCCTCAAAAGGGCTCGTGGGGATGGCAGTCTTGTGAGCTGTAGGTGGTAGCAAGCTCAGGCCTTCCGTGAAGTCAGTGTTGTCGTTCAGTGCGAGCAGCAAGGTCAGGGACCTGTGCTGGTCTCAAGATTTTCCCGGGATTTCTAAGCAGTAGATTCAGCCACGAGAGTATAATCTTCTGGCTGCAATGTCACGTCCAAAGAAGGTAGCCCCTCACTACATATTGTGACACTTTGCTGCGGGGAATGGAACAAAGAGATTAATAACACTAATATAACTACTACTACTAATAATAATGATAATAAGTTTATTTCTACAAGTACATGATACAACTTTCACAGACGTACCTGGCACCACTGGCATACTCTATAAAAGCCCCTAATTATGCACAGCATTGCAGGCAACTTTGGTTAATCTTGTTCCCCACGACAGTCGGCTAACACCCAGGTACCTACTTTGTGATTGCAACAACGCAAATTATGGAGTTAGTTTATAATGTAGTTAAATATTAGCACTGAAGATTTAAGAGTATCATTAGAAGTATTCACAAGACATCACATTAAAACAAATATTCCAGTTTCTTCAATAAAAATGGCAAATTAGTACATAGTCCAAATTCAATACATTTCTTCTGTTAAGACAAACTAACTTTGAAGCTAAACTGGAGAGACAATTGTCCTTAAATAACCCAGCACATTAAACCTGGAGCTGATCAAACGCTGCATTATCAAGCTATCAACATTGATGCGTTGAAGAATGCTTTCATTATTTTAATTTTCCCAATTCCTTTCCTTTCCCTGTCCCTAAAAGCAATATGGGACCTACACAGGTCAGAACCAATCCAAACTTTAAGACTGATTTACTTTTACAGAGGTAATTAAGAAAGTAAATAAATAAGCGTTTTTAGTTTTCACTAAATAACGCACAATGGTCTTGAGAGTACACAGGTGTAACAGGTGTAACATTGAGCTTAATATTAATAACATCTTTATTTCTACAAGTACATGTACAAGGTATACAGACCATAGCTGACATCAGTGACATACTACTATATAGAAAGCCCCTTGTTATGCTGAGCATTTCGGGCAAGTTTGGTAAATCTTGTCCCCAGGATGCGACCCACACCAGTCGACTAACACCCAGGTA